TAAAGCATTTGCATGCAATTTTTTTCCCTCTAATCACAAGCGGGTTTTTGGTGTATAGATCAAATTCATTAAATTATATATTTGCTAACTAGTTAAGATAATTAGTTAAATGGTTGATTTCATTTTTATTTTTAAAAGTTAGCTTTCTTCGAGAATGAAAAAAAATGAAGAAACAACTGCTCCAAAAGATTCATTTATTTGATCGGATGATTGTGGTCAAATGATAAGGATGACGGGTTGAGAAACTAACATGTTTCAGATTCGATCAATCTGTTCTGCGAAACTAAGTCATAGTTATTCATTGTCATCTAACACGGATATGTGTTCATTTTTTTGAACCCATTTGAATACCCAGAGAGAAGGTCTGGGCTGCACATTCCCTTGAGAATTAGTCTTGATCTCTCCATGAACCTGAGATACCCCACGTTAAAATTTATTTATTTATTTATTTATTGTAAAAGAATATTTCAAGTATATTTTATCTGTATTTTATCATTAATTATTAGTAACTCATTTCAATTTTTTTATGTTTACTAACGTTATCTAATTATATCTACTAAATAATAACAATCCCAATTAATTCCAAAGATTGTGAATCCTCATTAAATCCAAAGGTTGTGTTTCATTTTTAATATTTTAAATTTGTTTTGAAACCACGTGTCCATCCAAAAGTTAGTTAATTTGAAAGAATGTGTCTATTCATAATTTTTAATATTTCAATTTTTTTGAAATAATGTATCCGTTCAAAAATTAGTTAGTTTGCAAGAAGATGTCTATTAAATATATATTTATATATTTCTGAAAAGAGGTATCTATTTGAATTATATATATTGACAGAGTACTATTCAATTAACTATCTATAAATAGAAAGTTGTAACTATTCATTAAAAAATTGCATGTTGTAAAAACAAAATATATGTCAGATTTTTATGAAAAGAAACAACTCTTAACATTAATGATAGATACAATTCACACTTTTAGGATATTGTAACTATTTTTAAATTACTTAAAATATACAACGCTTCACATAAATATATTTTAGAGATAATATTGAAAAGTCACATTTAATTTGGCAACTTCTTTCTAAAAAATGCAACTTTTATGATGAATCAACACAATCTTTTACATTAATTGAGATTGTTTAGAAATGAATTTTTAAAGATAGTTTAACTACTTAAAAAAAAAATCTCAGTAGTTGCATTTTAATCTACTTTCCTACAATTAATTTTAAGAATTACTTCCTCCGTTTCATATTAAGTGTCGTTTTAGATAATTTTTTTTCGTTACAAAATAAGTGTCGTTTTCAATTTTCAATGCAAAATTTATTAATTTTATTTTGTAATCTATTTTTCTATAGGTTGATATATGGTTAGGTGTATAGGTAACTGTGTTTTTATATGGATAATGTTCAAAATTAATGATTTCCTTAATATGTATACATGAACCTAAAACGACACTTATAATAAAACATAGGGAGTATGTTTTTCATTCTCAAAGGTTGTCGAAGAATGTCACAAAAATGTGCATCCTTCTCTTGGTATCTACATTAACTTTTACTAATTTGCATATTTTAATACTCGTGCATTTCCAATTCGATTAGTTGTAAAAGTCCTACGATTGCAACTTTCAATTGTTGTTATATATACCTATTCATCTCTAACCATTTAAATATTTAAATGTTATATATTTTACCACTCGTACCTTTTTAATTCTATTTAAAAGAATATAATGCTCAATGTATCAGACATGTACGTGATCAAGGAGTTGTCTCCTCGCTATTATGAATTTCACTAATCATAAAGATAAAGACGATGGCGAACTGTGAGAGGAAAATCAATACATAAAATATTGGATGATGATGCTTTCAATAAATAAATATTGACTTATTTAGTCTCTTATATTGATACTTTCCCAAGTTTTTTACAGCAGTTAATTGTTATATCTTTCTACTCAATTTTTATTGTGCTTTTCTGTATTTTTGTTAATTGGTATTTGATGTTTTGCCAGTAGAACTGATATGCGAGTCATTTATTTAAATTAATTGATATCCTTTTCATATTTGGATGTATAACTAATTATAACTGACAGAATTGTTCAACAAAACCCAGTTAGGTTTGAACGAAAAAGGTGAAAAATGGTTGGCTGAAGAATTTGATTACGTGTTCCCAGAAACTAATTGTTTCGTTACACGATTTATGAATTTGCTGATATGCTAACTACTTTTATTTTCATTGAGCCATGTTCATTTGATAGTATATTTTTTGACGTCTTTTGTTTGATACTTTAATTAGACATGTAAATACATATTTTATCATATATTTATACCATACAAGTTAGGATATAAAATGTGTGTGTTTTTACTGAAATTACTCCCTCTGGATTTATATGTAGGATGTTTTGACCATTTCACACATATTAAGACAATAATGATTTGCAATTAATTTTTCATTATAGTTAAGTTTTATTGCATGTAACCTATGACACATAAATGCATAAATAAATACAAGTTAGCACGAGATTTAAATGATGTCTAATACTAATACGAGATGTGTTTTGTTTTTCAAAATAATTTGGTTACTCAAAATCCATTTGACACTTTAATTTTTTTTTTTTTAATTTTGGAGCCATATTTTCATTGAAAACAAATTCTCGGGATAAGTCGGGATGAAGCTCTCCTACTTTAAATATATTTTGTTCAAATCAAACTTTCGCATCGTTACAGATTTACTGACATAAATCCTATACACATCTATTGATTCCTCTTTATCGGAAGATTTTACTTCGCAGACATTCATGTCACTTGATTCCATTTCTTCTTGTTTTACTTTTGTCTTGCCATGTTCATCCATTTTAGTTTCTGGAAAATTATTAGAAAAGAACAAAGAAGTGATACATTCAGTGTTGACAAGTAAGAAGAGTATAAATAGTGCTCTTTAGACATGTGTAAGATATTCGTTAATTGAGCCGAAAAAAAGATATTCGTTAATTGCATGCAATAGTAATTTAACTTTGGAATTTCGCTTACCAACATTAATTTATTAGTCATGCACACGAAAAACATATATTTTTGGAAGTTCCATTTTTATAAAACTAAAGCATTAGTTAAACCCAAAACATCAATCTTTTATATACAAAGAAAAAAACTAAAACATCTTATATTCAAATACGGAGGGAATAATAGATAATGTGTAATTTTGTGTCAATCGACTGGAAAAACGTGTAATTTCGTGTTTTTCATTATAATATCAAAAATTGTATGTTTTCATTTTTGTATTCTTTTAAGAACTGTATCTTTTCATTATAAAATACAATTTTTTAAAAAAGATGTTAAAATATCTCAATTAATATCTTTCTATAATTAATAATTTAAAGAATTGTGTTATTTATTTATTCCAAATTATTTACTAAAAAGTTATTATAGTACCTAAATAAGTGTCTTTTTAATAATTTTTCATTATGCAGTAAATTATCTTTTAGTAATAATGTTGATAACATATAACACAAAAACTTTATTTGTTATTGTTGTATCTTAGGTAATAATTTAAATAAAATGGATCATGTCGACATAAGTTAATATACATTTATTATGATATCCAATTTCTTTTTATTCATGAAATATAAAATATAAATAAATATATTAAAAATACTATTTTTTTGTAAATATTGAAAGTAGTAATCCATGAAAGTAATTGTAAAATTTTGTTATTATAAAATATAATTGATTTGATTTTATAAAATGAGTTTTCGTGCACGGATTCTTTACCTAGTGGTTGTAATATAAAACTGTCATAAACACACAATTAACCAATGTTTCATTGCCCTATACATACCAAATTAAACAAAATTGAATGTGTAGAAAAATCTCATATTGATTGATTACAAAAAGAAAAAGATAAAAAAGACAAACGACAAAGAAGTCTTTCAATCTTCTAAAAATAAGTAAGAATTTAATTTGGAGTGAGCAAACCAAAATTCAACATTCTTTCTACTATATATTTCCTCCTCTGCCGGAGGATTAAGAAGGAAACGTTCAAAGAAGGAACACAAAGATCAAAATCCCCCACCCCCGAGAAACTCGAAAACGGTTAAACTCTGAAGAAGTGATCAAAGAATCCACGTGATAGACACTGAGGTGAGAGTTAACTCTTATCGTATCCGGTTTTCGATCCACCACACTTACACACACACCTCTCCAAGGAGTTGCGATCATGTCGTCGTCGGAGTTGAAACAGCTAATCGTCGTAGCTGAAGGCACATCAGCGTTGGGTCCTTATTGGCAAACCATCGTCTCCGACTATCTCGAGAAAATCATCAGGTTTCTTCCAATTTAGGGTTTCTGGCTAAACCTGAATCTCTTAGCCTTATTAGGTTAGATCGAACCCTGTGTTGTGCGAGTAACTTCAAATAGGTTTTAAAATAGGAGAAGAAGAATCTGTTAGCCTTAATTATGTGTGAGGAGGAGGATAGTGTTTTTTGATTACAAACCATATCCATTAAAGGAATGTATATTATTATATAACTAATCTGTTAATGCTCTCCGTTTGTGTTTGTTCAGGTCTTTCTGTGGCGCTGACTTAAACGGAGAGGTACTGTATCTGACTCTTTCTCGTTTTTTTTTTTATTCTTGAGAGAACTGTCTCGTATTGCTATTTATTGTACTGTCCTGTATCTGTCAAATCATTGCCATACAAAAGTTAAAAAGAGCAATTAGAGACATTTTGTTATGTCTGATTCGATGGTTGATGAGTCTTTTTTATATTCGTTAATCTTGCAGAGGAGCCCTGTTTCTAATGTTGAGCTATCAGTTGTCAT